AAGGAGAGCAAAACAGGTGTGAAAAGAAGGCTTTGATACCCTACCAGCTACTGTGGAGAAAGGCTTTAAAAAAGAAAAGAAAAAGGCAAAGCAAAGAGCACAGAGTTTAAGATGGAGCTATGTGCTACGACAATTCCCTGCGGAAAGGGACCAGGCATAAAGACGAACCATGCGCTCTGGCCAGTGTGGCTCAGTTGGCTGGGCTTCGCCCCACATACCAAAAGGCTGCTGGTTTGATTCCCACTTAGGGTACGTCCCGGGGTTGTGGGCACGATCCCTAGTCGGGTGCATGCGGAAGGCAGCAAATGGATGTTTTGCTCTCACATAGATGTTTCTCTCTCTCCCTCTCTTTTTCTCTCTCTCTAAAAATCAATAGAAAAGTCTCAAATAAAAAATAAATGAACTTGGCATTCTCCCAGCCCTGCCACCTTGTCATCACCAGCCCTGACACCTGGAGCAGAAAGGAGTTGCTCACTCGATGGAAGTCTTACGCAGCCCATCCCGAGTGGGTAAGTAGCCTAGCCTTCTTCTTGACTCTCAACTACATGTGTATAGTGTCTGGGGTTAGCAACGGGTCTTTTGGGGGAGTAGGAACTTGCTTCCAAATTGCCTTATAACCTGTGTGGCTGTGTCTCTACAGCTGATGGCACCCCAGTCTCCCTTTCCTGGAGAAACTCCCGCATGTGTTTTAGTTCCCCACCTGGAATCCTGAAGGGCACATTCAGCTTTGTGGTCTCCTATAAACCTAAAGTGGAGCTAAATAAATATCTGTCATTATAATGAGAGAAAGAACGAATCCTGAAAAGGATTGAGTTTTTGCTGCCAAGATAGGGCAGGGCCCCCTGGCGAGCTCAGGGACACTTGAGGAATTTGGAGCTTAGAGAGGTCTGACTTTTGGAGGCCTCAGAGAGGCTTAAACTGTGGAGAACAGGAATGAGAGTTCATTCAGCTCACGGGTGCTCTTCAGGGGGACAGAAAGATGGAACTGAGGTTTCTACAAGAACATTCCCACCACCCAAGTGTCCCTTTTCTAGACCTGGGTGTGCCTGATCCTGGGGATGGTCTCAGAGGCCAGAGGGAGGCCACGTCCCAGGGAAGTTCTTTGCAAAAAAACGACACTGGACCTAGCAACATGATCAATGGTGTTATAATGCGCCGTGACTGCCGAAAGCAATTTGTTGGGGCATTTGCTCTGTAAGCACCACGCTGGTGAAGGCCTTTTACAGTACGCGCTACAGTGGGACAGACCTTCGGAAAAGGCCAGTCACTTCTAAACCCCACTGCTAACCAATCGGCTTCCGAAAAGCTCTCATGTGGAAGCTTCCCCTGGAACTCCCAGCTGTGGATTTCCAGCACCTTCTACAGTCCACTCATTTCTTTCCCTAAAGATATCACCAAAAAAACCCGCTAAGTTAAAAACACAAAGCAAAAACAGCTTTCTCATAATACAGAAAAAGTCACTCAGCTGACCTACTAAATCTCTGAATATGATGGGTGAGAAGTGGAGGGATCTTTTATATTGTCAACCAAATGCAGTCTACTCCTCGTTACTGAATTACTTGTGATGTCTTTAGGGACATAAAAGAGACGTGAAAATCCAAATCTCAAACGTGGTCATCACACGCTCTTTTTATTTCCCGTGCTAGGTTATGGATACCTGCCCTTCCCCCCCCACCCCCCTCAAGTTCGAAAATTGCCAATAGAAGCTAAGTGCTGTTCAGCTGTGTTCTATATTTACCAACAGACTCTGGGATTTTTCCAGCATTCCGCATTTTTACAACTCCAAGCACACCTCACAGAACTATGTAACCCTCGCCTGGGTGTGAGAAAGGAAAAACTGATGCAACTAGTCCATCCTGTGTATGAACCTGGGCACAGCTCAGCTGGGTTTTAAAAAATACTGTGTCATTTTCCGAAGGAGAATTTTAAAGACGGGTGGGGTGGGGTGGGAGGGGATGGGAAAGAAAGGCGTAAGGAAAATGTCTTCTCTGATTTCCTCCTTCAAGAAGAGCAGAAAAGAAGTCAGTTTTGTGCGGTGAAAGGTAGACTGTTCATTTCTTCTATACATTTTATTGTTATGGAATACCCAAATTAAATCCACACATCACATTACTTTTGGCCAAGTAAACGTGTTGTGCAAGGTTTAAAATGCAAGGCCCTACCTTTTAGCTGCTGAGTAACTACAACAACAAAAGCAGAATGGTCACATTGTTTAATCCCTTCATTTCTCGCCTCCTAACTCACTTTCCAAATGCACTGGTGAGATGGAGAGAAATTTGTCCAGAAACACATTTTCCAACTTTCCTTGGAGACCTGACCTTTCCAACATGACGTTTGGAGACCTCTTTAAGCTCAATTTGAAGTCAGAGGACAGATTCCTGCCAAACCGTGTCCATCAGGGTGATGGCTCATCTGCGTGAATGGTGGCTACACAACCACCTCATCCATGCAGAGGATGGCTGGAAACTGGGAAACAGCACCAAACATCTGCTGAGTAGTTCAACAATCACAAAGCTCTTCATTCCAACTGCACACACTGTGCTCAGAAACAAGAACGCCCGTACAGCTGGTGAACTCTGAGTTCCTGTGCAGCTCTGGGCCTTGCTTCGTAGCCCGTAGCAGATTTCAAGGAGACAAGGAAGACTACGTTTTCAGGATACAAAAGGCAAGGAGGCAGGTGACAGGTAAACTATAAAAATAAGCACTCCACAGCAGGGCAGACTGTGTCCCAAAAACTCTCTATAGTAAATGGAAACGAGTATTACCCAGCATATTCCGGTTAAAAGGGCAAAAACATATATATGTTTTTAAACAGCCCCCATCCATGGTGGTTAAAAATAACAAGTTGGTTCCTGCGAGGTAAAGTTCCCGTTACCTGGAATCACTTTTACCCGTAAGCAGTGGTCCCCTCGCTTTTATTCCAGCTCTAACACTCAGACCCAAACCAAGTCCACAGTGCATTAAAGGCTGAGATTTTCAACTGAGGGGGCCTGGGGGCCGCAGAAGCAAACTCTGAGAGGGCAAGTAGTTTGAAGGCTCCCCCAGGTTATTGTTTTAAAAAAAATCATTTCCCCCACCCCCAGCTTTGAGGCTGACCGCCTTGTCTAAATAGACAAGATCTTCCCACCAGACGGATCTTCAAATATGAAAGTCTCCATTTTTGATATTACTGAATCTTCTAAGGTCATCAAAGCCCACACTGAATATTTATGGATAAAATAATAGGTTGTCTGGGATTTTTCTCCACAATAATGGGGTGGGGACTGTGAGGGGGACAATACTGGCCATGTTGACAGCTGTTGACAGTGGGAGACAAGGGTCACACCATTCTCTAGCCTACAGTGTTGCGCATGCCTAAAATTTCCCATAGTAAAACGTTGGGTTTTTCTTAATAAAAAAAGTTTTTCTTAAAGGGTAATTTGTCAAGTAACCTGGTAACATAGATAACAGTGGGGGTCAGAACTTTCCCTCCAACTGAACCCCTTTGCCCTTCCAAACTAAAACGTGTGTTTAACTAGACCACTGGTCGGCAAAGTCATTAGTCAACAGAGCCAAATATCAACAGTACAACGATTGAAATTTCTTTTAAGAGCCAAATTTTTTAAACTTAAACTATATAGGTAGGTACATCGTTATTAACTTAATTAGGGTACTCCTAAGGCTTAGGAAAAGCCACACTCAAGGGGCCAAAGAGCTGCATGTGGCTCGCGAGCCGCAGTTTGCCGACCACGGAACTAGACCAAACGGACAGTGTAAGTTCTTCGTTTTTAAAAGATGGTGGGAAAAATTCCTTCTGGAGATACAATGACAAGTTGGATAAAATGCAAAGGCCGATCAATCCGACACAAGATATGGGAGTCTCCCCTGGCCCGTTGGCGTCAGGTGGGGTGTATCAGAATACCTGAGTCTGGCTGACTTCTCAAATGAGCCTTCTCTGCCTTTCATGCCAGGAATGCTTTGTCCCAAAGGACTCCATCCTTTGAGACCTCAGAAGCTGCAACTCTCCGATTCCAGCTCTCCTTGCTATCCGTGTCTACACCCACTGTGATGCGGGTCCGAGAATGCCAGAGCTGCTCTCAGCCAGGAACCAGAACACATCCCCTAGTGTCAGACACCAAGAAGGCGGTCATGAGCACCTCCATTTTTAGAGCAGATTCAAAGACGGGCCACTGCTGAGCAGTATTCCCAAAGCCCTATTGCCCTGAGATTAGTCCTCATGTCCCCATTTTACAGACGAGGGCACCTGGGCTGCAGAGGTTAACGACTTGCCCCTCATCAGACAGACACTGACATTATCTGACCCCATTTCTTACTCAAAGAACCGTGCTCACAATATCCAAAACGGGGGCTGAAACTACAACCTGGCGATGTAAGAATAACCCGACAACAGCAAGCTCCCACATTCTATTAGGACGACTGCGAGCCAGCCGCCACGGGCGGTGGACTTCATGCAGATATGGCAGACATGGACCCTGAGGCTGGTGACCAATTTTCCGCCCTGGGATGTCCTATCCAGAGGGCCTGGCACAGAACCAGAGTCCTGCCCCTGCCTCAGCACCCCCTCTCCTGCCCGTCCCCCTCCCCCCCCATGCCTCCTACCTGGACGCTTGCTTTCCTTCCACAGCACCAGTCTGTGCTGCAGAGAGAGAATCCCGGCAAGTCGCACGCAACCTCTTCAGAAACCAATTCCAGAAACACGATCACAAGGGCAGCCCAAGCCCAAGAGGCTTTCCAGCTTGGTCATATGACTCACTCATCAAAACAGAAGAAACGCTGCGGCGAACCTTTAACTTGCTTCGCCCTCCCCTGCGATGTGCGCCCCGAGGGACCACAGGGACCGAGAGAGAGGGGCTCCCCTCTCCCCGTGAGAGCCTGCTGCAAGTGGCCTCCCCAGCAGTTTCCACACCTCCCTCCCCCGTTTCCTTCCTGCCCAGGCCTGAGTTCCCTCAACGCCCCTCACAGGTCCAGGGCTCTGGGAGGAGAGGACTCATCTGTGTCACTTCCTCTCCAAACATAAGCAACAGCCAGCATCTCTGCCAAGTCTCGGCACTGGGCCTGCCGGTCCGGAGCTCGGTTCCCGGGGACAGCGCCTGGTTCCCTGGCTCCTCGAGCTCCACCAGCCAGCCTCACCCAGATGGGGAGTCATGTCCACACAGGAGCCACTTCCAAGCGGTAGAACCAGGCTCCGAGGCCACCTCACTTTCTGCAGGTACAACATGGGGGTGATAACAGTGTCCATCACTCACTAGGGTGGTCAGGAAGATTCCAGGAGTTAGGAATATCCAAGTGCTGGCACCATTCGCGCGTGTGTTCTCACTGCCCTTATAATTATTGGTGCCATTTCACCCAATGCTGCAGGAAATCCAAGGGAACCGAGCGCCTGCTAGTAGCACAAGGATAAAAACTGGTTTCCACAAACCAAGAGTCGGAGGGTTTTTGAAGTTAAGGAGGCAAAACATGAGTGCAAAACAAGCAAGTACAGGTCCCACCGCCTGGGAACCGTGACAGGGTGCCCGGTGGGTTTCAGGTATGTGACCACTCCGGTGAGTCAGGGGACAGCCAAGCGGGTTCGAAAGTGTTCCGGGGCAATCGCTTCTCCGGAGCCAAGACGCTGAATCAGAGGGGAGAAGGAATGAAAACAGGTACGAACTAGTGTCAGCTGTAAAGAGTTGCATAATCCCGACTGAAGTAACCAAATGTTAATTACTGATGGGAGAAAACAAAGCCTCTAAACCAGTGGTTCTCAACCTTCCTAATGCCGCGGCCCTTTAATACAGTTCCTCATGTGGTGGTGACCCCCAACCATAAAATTATTTTCGTTGCTACTTCCTAACTGTAATGTTGCTACTGTTATGAATCGTAATGGAAATATCTGATATGCAGGATGGTCTTAGGCGACCCCTGTGAAAGCGTTGTTCGACCGCCAAAGGGGTCGCGACCCACAGGTTGAGAACCGCTGCCTAAACCCAGTGGTTCTCAACCTTGGCTGCACATTACAATCACCTGGGAATCTTTTTAAAAACCTAATTTCTGGGCCTCCTCCTCCGGAAATTCTGTTTCTTTGTCACTCATGTTGTGGCCCCACCCCATAACAAAGAAACAGAATTTCCGGAGGAGGAGGCCCAGAAATCAGGATTTTAAAAAGATTCCCAGGTGATTCTAATGTGCAGCCAAGGTTGAGAACCACTGCTCTAAACACAGTCAGTCATGCGACATGCAGACACCTCCATGTAGATAGACTACAAACACCCATGTACACATGCAAAGCTGTGTCCTTTCTTCTCTCCATCCCCTGCCTAGCAGACACACACACACGCACACGCATGCACACTACCTAAGTGGAAACATGGGAAATCTTAGGTTGTACTAAGCAGCTCTCTGAGTGACATTACGAAGAAATGGCATTACCTGTCCAACCAAGTGCAGTACATTCACTGTTTTAAAACCCTTGTGTTAGCCTAGGACCGTTCCTGTCACCCTGGCTGACCTCAAGCTGAAGATTTGCTCAGCTGCCCTGCCTGGGGCAGAGCAAGCCTGGGCTACTGGAGACAAGATGCTGCGTGCGGGATGGCTCTCCAGGCCTGGGGGGTGCCTGCGGCCCTGTAGGGTATGAGCACAGCAGCAGGGACAGGAGGGCAAAGGTCAAGTGCTTCAGTTCCCAAGTTGGACTGAGCTCTTAAAAGCTGAAAAACTTAAACATGCAAAATTGCTGACAAATTCATCGCTAATGAACACAGCAAACTTTAAACCACTTAATCTCTGCCTTCCCTCAATACTCTATATAAGAAAATTTGGAATGAGTCTTCCTTCAGGAGTAGCATTGTCTCAGCTGTCGCTTATCATTTCAGCTATAAAATCATTTGAGTGATTTACATGCATGACATCATGTAATCCTCACGATCCCAATTTACACAGTGAACATAATGAAGGAGGCTTCCTCCGCTCTCTTGATTTATACCTGTTTCAGAATGTTAAGGACTTCAAACTTCCCTGGGGGGAAAAAAATCACTATCTACTGAAATCTTTGTACAGAACAAAAAAAAAGAAGAAGAAGGAAAGAAATCCCTGAGAAAAGAATGCACATCATCTGTTCTTCCACTAGATTGTAAGAGGGCAGGAACCAACGTTTAAAACAGCTTGTGTAACCCCAAATCCCTCCGCACTATAATTAACACGTACTCTGACTCAGCAATGCCACTTGTGGGAAACTTTCATAGGAAATAAAAGCAACGAATCTTCATGGTTATGTATAAGGGTCAAAAAACACCCTGAATATCCATAACAGAGTTATGTTCAAAGAAATCCTGGCATAGAAAATTATTTAGGGTCTTATGTAATTATTGGTAATTAGTTAGAACAGAATCTATTGGTTCAGAGTGACACCCAGGGTGAGTTGCAGAGTAATATGTAAGGCAAAAAAATAAAGCCAAACCAGTCATCCTATATGTGTCTGTGCTTACACAAGCTTGGAGAAACGGCATGGAACACTTCTGACCTCAGAGGGAGGAAGGCAGAAGCAGAAACATCTACTTTGCCCCTAGGTAATCTTTGGAGTATTAATATTATGTTAGACCCCCCCCCAAAAAAAAAAAATACTTTAAACCAGTTAATCTCTGCCTTTCCTCAATATTCTATATAAGAAAATTTGGAATAAGTCTTCCTTCAGGAGTAGCATTAAATCAGCTATCACTTATCATTTCAGCTATAAAATCATCTGAGTGATTTACATACATGACATCATTTAATCCTCACAACCCCAATTTACAGGTAAGAAAACTGAGACTGTATGGATCTGGCCAAAGTCCCAAAGCTAGCAGGTGGCAGAGGCTGCGTCCAAAGCACAGTCCTTCACCATGGGATTTCACTGTGAGCTGCACATTCACATATAGGCCCCTTCATAAATATCAGTACTTACAATACTGGCTCATTAAGCACGTGGCTTTCAGCACCATATACAATCATACTTTGACTAAAAGCAAAAGCAAAAAAAAAACAAAAAAACCACTTGCAATCAAACGTTCATTTTCAAATTAGAACTGATTAAAACAGCTTACATCCTGGAACTTGCTTGAGTTTTCATTCTTTTGAATTATTAGGGTGAGAAGGATCATTCTTTTTCTACCTCATCTAAAAATTTTAATAATCTTTAATACTTTCTGATTATAAATTCATTATAAATGGAAATTATAGAAAACTAAAAGGAAAAGCTAAAAATCGTGCATAATGTCGCCACCCAAGGGTAATCAATTTAAAACTTTTGCATATTTTATCCCATCCTTTTAATTAGGTATATTTTAAATTTGTTTACATTATTGAGATTCTACTACTTTGTTTCATATCTTTCAGTCTTTCTGATTACTACTTATCTTCCCAAGATGGGGCACACACACCCCGCAGGGGGGCTGTTTGGTTTTTAATGGGGGGCAATTCAATAATGAGTTATTAACAGTGAATTTTTGTATTTCTTATGGGGCCTCATATACAGTTCTAGGGGCCTCATCTACAGTATATAAATATATATTGTGACATATTTATGCATTTCAGTTCTCTAGTATATGTTCTTAAACTTTATTTGCTATTTTTTCATATTGTTTCATATTATTACTATTTTTATAACAATTTCTTAGTGATTTCTTCCTTAGTTCTTCAACTGTCCTTTTGTTCTTTTATTTTCCTCTTTTCATGGATGCCATGTTCTTTGGAAGCTTGTTTAGACCATGTTAATGGCCTTTTAGGCTTCCTCCATGTGATTAGGAGTTTGCTTTTTGAATAATAATTATATGTCACGAGGGGGGGGGCATCAGGATTTCAGAGATGCTTAGGTGGGGCGTGGCCAAAAAAAGGTTGGGAACCACTGCTCTATGGTATAGGGCAGTGGTCGGCAAACTCATTAGTCAACAGAGCCAAATATAAATCTCCACGTGCTAATTTTACCTATTCTTAAAGTCTTTCACCTTGGAAAGGGCCACTGGGACCCATCCTCTCTACATTACAAACTCATAAATTTAACGCTCTTATTAAGGCTCACAACATAACACTATCCCTACCGTTCTGGCCTTCTCTCTTGAGGTCCTAATTCAACGCCCGTTCATTTTCTCTGTGGTTCCCAGGAACTCTCACCTCGCCTTGTGTTCCTTTAGCTGCAGAACTAGAATGAGACAAGTTATCTTTACAACCTACCTCATTAAGATGGGCTTATTATTCACCAGAAAACACAGAGCTCACGACCTGGACTTTCCCATAAAATCTCCACTGGAAGGAAAACTCTCACTCGAGGAAGACACCAGGAGAAAACCTGAGCCCACTCTGGTTTGTATCAGACAATAACAAAGACCAGGACAAAGGGCAAATACATACAAAATGGGTCTGGAATATCTAGGCTTACGTCCTCACCCTGTCTGGTGACTTTAGCCCAGCCGATAATTAGAAATTTGGAGCTAGAGGCTGGGAGACTGCTGGATGTGAGCCACAAAATAATGAAGTTTTCACCTTTTCCCAGATGAAAAATCATTTCCAACTGAGGAGGGGAATAAAACACAAATGCTAAAAGCCCCACGCGTGACGAAACCAGGGGATTTCAGGAACCCCGCATCAAAATATATAAATACAGAAGGAAAAGCTGGGCGCGCGAGCTAAGTGACAGGTAAGCCTCTGGAAGTTCAACCTGAGAGGCACAGGTACCAGGTGTTCTGCTCTGTTTGGTGAGGTGAGGAGGTGGTTTGGTTTTGCAAAGTGTGGAGGCTGCGAGGAGGGAAGGACCTAAAAGCAGGGCAATGGTTTAAAAGTCTTTATTAGAAGTGTTACCTGTGCCAGTGCTTACCTAAGCGGAAGCTGGGGGGCTCCAGAGGGGAGAAAGAAAGGGAAGGGGGTGAAATTATCGAATGAGATTGGATCTCGTGGAAAGTTGGGCAGGAGTTTCATAAAGCAGTAGGAAGTGTGTGGGAGCACTTAGTCAGATGTTTATTAAGAAAACCAAGCAAATGAAAAGGTGAACACTGACCAGGGTGTTAGTGCAGCTAATTATACTGGCAGGATGGTGGCGAGGAAGATGGGGTATAAATGAGCTTTAGTCCTTATCTCTCACCACCACCACCACCGTCACCATTTAGCTAACATTCTTGAGCACTTGTGTTTTGTGATTTTTATTCTGAGCTCTTATAAATGGGCTTCATGCCCCTCCCAGGAGTCAAGAGGCTGCCACAACACACAGGGCACCACGAAGCCAACAGAATAAGAAATACCAGATAAATGTGGCAGGTGATGATGTGTTCATTACATAGAAGGGGGAAATCATTTCACTATATTCATATCAAATCACCACGGTGGACACTTTAAATATCTTACAATAGTTATACCTCAATAAAGCTGAAATTTAAAAGATTCCTTAAAAGAATAATCAATCCCAGAAATAAACAATATGCTTTTGCATCTTTTATATTTTCATGGGGAAGCACAGAAGTGAGCGCAAGCTGCACTGTGGCCTCTCCTCCCGAGAGTCTATAGGACGTGTGGCCTCTCGTGACATTGCTAAGGCCAAGAGTCACCTCTACACGAGTGGGTGGAAGAGAGGGAATGAAGGAAGGTGATTCTGCTCCTTCAAGTATAATTAGCAACGCTGACCATGTGTCATGTTCCCCACGAGTGAAGTTAAAGGAAGGAGATGCCTGCAAGACCTGGAATTCCTCTCGTCCGACTCATGAAACTAAACAGGTCTTGGAGGTCACTACTGTGGGTGAAGCAGCAACTGTCTGAAAATCAGGACCAGCCTGGGTGGCAAGATGCAGCCTCTCTTCTTAGCCTCAGCCCAAAGAGGGACGATACTAAGCACCAAAACTTATTTAGTACCTTCTGAGAAACAATGAAATACAGTTGACAGAACTGTACTGTTTTCTCTTCCTTATGGTTTTCTTAATAACATTTTCTTTTCTCTACCTTACTTTACTGTAAGAATACAGTATATATTACATACAAATGTGTGTTATGCAACTGAGTCAAAAGTTTTATGCGCATTTTGACTGTGCAGGATTTGAGGGAGGGGGGAGGTCTAACGCCTACATTGTCCAAGGATCAGCTATTCCATTAAGGTGAGGAATAAGAATTAAACAGTCAAAAAATCTGCAGTAACTCAATGGAGTCCAAATAATAAATAATGTGGCATTAATCCACTCCAAGAGAAATGTACTAGGACAAGACTGAAGTTATCAAATTAAGACAGGGCAAGAAAAACTCTGTTTGAATATAGTTATGATATGCTATTTTAATATATTTTTCACACCCACAGATAAACAACACTTCATGTTTCTTTTCTAAGCATAAAAATAAAACTCCCCTGGCATTCTTGGGTCTGAGTTTGTAATGTACTCAGTAATTTTCCATTTCACTTGTGTTCACGGATTTAGAAATGTGCTTCAGCTCTTAACAAAAATATTTATGCTCTGAAGTATTTATTGCTTCTGCCTAACGAGATCCCAGTGTACAGATGAGAAAGGTATCCAGGAGGAAATGGGGAATAATAGTGTGCAAAGTGTTCTAGAGCGGAAGGTCAAACTGCGGAACATACTTTAACTGTAACAGGATAGGGCTGGAAACAGAGCGAGGCCTAGCCTAGCCCTGCCCAGGGAGCTCTGCCCAGGTCCTCAAGGCAAGGAATTCTAGCTCCAAAGCACACTGACCACAACACATGACCCACACCAACACACTGGAGTCCCCCGGGGAAACCCTACCCAGCTCCCCAAACTTCAAATCATTGGTTTTCTGGTTCTTTTTGAAAGAAACACCTTCATTTTCAAATGCAACATTCCAGTAAAAGCAGAACTGAGTTGTACATCCTCCAGGACACCCTACTCCAGTGGTCGGCAAACTCATTAGTCAACAGAGGCAAATATCAACAGTACAGTGATTGAAATTTCTTTTGAGAGCCAAATTTTTTAAACTTAAACTATATAGGTAGGTACATCGTTATTAACTTAATTAGGGTACTCCTAAGGCTTAGGAAGAGCCACACTCAAGGGGCCAAAGAGTCGCATGTGGCTCGTGAGCTACAGTTTGCCGACCACTCCCCTAGTCCCAAGTCTTGAGATGCCTAAAGTGACCAGGGAACACAATTTGAAAAGCCAAACTAAATGAAAGCTGAAGGGAAATTTGAAAATCACCAAAAAATATTCATCTGTAACATATATACTTCCATCATTCAGTTTTAATTTGATCTATTGTTATATGAAGCTGCTTTGGTAAGTCATAAAAATACTATACAAAAGTATACCAATCTTCATGATCAAACTACAGGGCAAAAGGAAGAATAGAAGTCAATCATTCTATCAATCTAGCTCAGTCTAAATGTAAGAAAACAAAATTACAAAAGTGCCAGAAGAAAATATATTGCAGTTAGCCTGGAGGTCAAATCACCCCGGTATTGCCGACATCAATCAAGGCTTAAAGGCAACAAGACTGCGGACAAAGACCACTAGGGGGTGCACCAAGAAAGCATAAAAAATGCGGAGACAAAGAAACAGGACAAAACTGTCAATGGAGGATATTGAGTTCAGAATCACACTTTTAAGGTCTCTTAAGAACTGTCTAGAAGCTGCCGATAAACTTAGTAAGGCCCTCGAAAAGACTGGTGAGACCGCCGATAAATGTAGTGAGATCCTCAAGAAATCTAATGAGACCCTCGATGTTGTGATAAAGAACCAACTAGAAATTAAGCATACACTGACTGAAATAAAGAATATTATACAGACACCCAACAGCAGACCAGAGGAGCGCAAGAATCAAGTCAAAGATTCGAAATGCGAAGAAGCAAAAAACACCCAACTGGAAAAGCAAAATGAAAAAAGAATCCGAAAATATGAAGATAGTGTAAGGAGCCTCTGGGACAGCTTCAAGCGCACCAACATCAGAATTATAGGGGTGCCAGAGGATGAGAGAGAGCAAGATATTGAAAACCTATTTAAAGAAATAATGACAGAAAACTTCCCCCACCTGGTGAAAGAAATAGACCTACAGGTCCAGGAAGCGCAGAGAACCCCAAACAAAAGGAATCCAAAGAGGACCACACCAAGACACATCATAATTAAAATGCCAAGAGCAAAAGACAAAGAGAGAATCTTAAAAGCAGCAAGAGAAAGAAACCCAGTTACCTACAAGGGAATACCCATACGACTGTCAGCTGATTTCTCAACAGAAACTTTGCAGGCCAGAAGGGAATGGCAAGAAATATTCAAAGTGATGAATACCAAGAACCTACAACCAAGATTACTTTATCCAGCAAAGCTATCATTCAGAACGGAAGGTCAGATAAAGAGCTTCACAGATAAGGAAAAGCTAAAGGAGTTCATCACCACCAAACCAGTATTATATGAAATGCTGAAAGGTATCCTTTAAGAAGAGGAAGAAGAAGAAAAAAAGGTAAAGATACAAATTATGAACAACAAATATGCATCTATCAACAAGTGAATCTAAGAATCAAGTGAATAAATAATCTGGTGATCATAATAGAATCAGGGACATAGAAAGGGAATGGACTGACTATTCTTGGGGGGGAAAGGGGTGTGGGAGATGCGGGAAGAGACTGGACAAAAATCGTGCACCTATGGAAGAGGACAGTGGGTGGGGAGTGAGGGCGGAGGGTGGGGCGGGAGCTGGGAGGAGGGGAGTTATGGGGGGGAAAAAGAGAGGAACAAAAGTAATAATCTGAACAATAAAGATTTAATTAAAAAAATATATATATATATTATTAATGTGAAGGTATGTAAGTCTCTCCTAAATATTATCAGATTTTATTACATAATTTTAAATGCTTCCATGGCTAAAGACAATGTAAAGTGGATTATAAGACAATGACCTGAGAAAAAATACTTGCAATATACTTGCAATAGACAAAAAATTCAGGATCATAAAAATCCAATAAGAAACTTAAAAAAAAAAAAAAGACCAGACACTTTATAGCTAAAAGACATCGGATTAAAAAGCATATGGAGATACTGAACCTCGCCCTAACCAGTTTGGCTCGGTGGATAGAGCGTTGGCCTGTAGACTGAAGGGTCCCAGGTTCGATTCCGGCCAAGGGCATGTACCTTGGTTGCGGGATCGATCCCCAGTAGGGGGTGTGCAGGAGGCAGCTGATGGATGTTTCTCTCTCATCAATGTTTTTAACTCTCTATCCCCCTTCCTTCCTCTCTGTAAAAAAATTAAATATATTTTAAAAATTTAAAAAAGATACCCAACCTCACTATCAGTAAAATGTAAATTATACATGCATAAGAGGCAACTTTTTTCTCTCTTGAATTGAAAATAAATAAATAAATAAAAGACTGATCATTCCAGTGCTGATGAAAATATCACAGTGTTACTTGCTGGAATATACACCAATAGGACATTTTTAAGGGGAAATTTGACATTACCCTCAGTAAAAACTTAGGCATGCATGACCTTTCAACACAGTTGTAGTAATGCCACTTCTAGGAACCTATCCAAAATTCGACATGTATCTATGTAAAAAGAGGTTCACCTCAGCATTAATTATAATAGGGAAAAATGCATACAACGGAGATGATGTGTTGTATGGGTCATGGTACATACGTTTAAAAGAAGTAGACTCTGTACATACACACGAGGAGCTGACTACAGCTCTGAGTGGCAAAAGCAGGTGCAGCATTATGCTTAGTGTGATTTCGTTTCTAATTTATGTTCTAAAACTTTCTTTACATTTCACATTATGTATTATGTGCATAGAAAAAGCTCTGGGAGGACGTACTCAAACTGTCAACTGTTGGCAGGGTGACAAGGAGAATATAAAACTGCATCGGCATGTTGTTTCCAATTTAATTAAACACACGCACAGAAAAGGACAAAAGAATTGATGGGGTGATGATCTCTGGAAGGTAAAATTCTGGGTGATGTTTACTTTGTTGCTATATAAAATTTTCTATATGTTTTACATTTTCTACAATGGTCATTATTACTTTCCTACTCTGAAAAATATTAAGATTTATGCTTAAACTGTTATAATAAAGCACTTGAGAGGGCTTTTAAAAACTTGAGAAAATAGCATTTATTGAATGTTATTGTTTCTGTCCCAAGAACTAGAGAAAAAAATTAAAGGGCAAAGCGACGAGTTAAAGCTGCTCCTAACATCTGGTCTCCCGACATGGCTCATAAACATGATATAGATTCCTTTTAATGAAAGCATGGAACTGAGTACAGGGTGTAAATGCTGTCCCAGGCCAACAAGAGCTAGACTAATTATAGGTTCCATGGAAGAAGGCAACACTCAGCTGAATCTTAAAGAATTTTGAGAAGCATAGACAGAAAGTGAGGACATGAATCCAAAAGCTCCTCAAATTATCTCCTTGTTCATCTTTTCACAATCTGATAGATAACTCAATGTTGTAAACACCTAGCGTAAACATCTAGCCACTTAAACATCTGGCTTCCAAAGAAAGACGGTATTGTGACTACACAATAATGAAATACAGATCAAAGTGTATTTAAATATGCATACATTATGTATTTAAATATATATATTTTCAAATTACCTGAATATTTTCAAATTCTCTAATTCCCACCCCCAAGAGAAAAACTTAAAAGTCAACAGTCTACCAGGTCCCCCAATACACTGCTGGTGGTATAACTTCCATGGCAAGCATTTGGCAATATCTATTAAAATTACAAGGGCAGAAGCCTTTAACCTAGCAATTCTACTTCTAGAAATTTATTTTAACACTCTTACATGTGTGAAAAAAAATTATTGGTAATTACAAAACCCAGAAACAACCTAAAAGCTCATCACAGAAGACGGTCAATAATGGCACATCCGCATAAGAAAAAAATGAATAAGGAGGCCTTTCATACACTGAAATAAATGGCTTCCGGGATAAGAGACAATACTGACATAGAATAGGAGTGGTGTATGTACCAGATGTGTGGAAAAGCGAGGGCATGGATGTATATGTTAGTATGCACACAAAATAGCTCTGGAAGACTATCTTAAAAACTACTTACAATTCTTAGAGAAGAGGGGACCTGAGACTAGAGGTCAAGGGTGGAATGAAGACTTTCCATTGCATAATTTTTTTAATCCTCACCGAGGACATGCTTAGAGTGTGTATGTGTGTGTGTGTGGGGGGGGGGGTACGCATCGATGTGATAGAGTTACATCAATCAGTAGACCTCCGCACACAACCCAACTGACCGGGGACCAAGGACACAACCCAGGCATGTGCCCCAACCAGGAATAGAACCAGCAATCTTTCGGTGCACTGGAGGAAAAGCCACTCCAGTCAGGCTCTTGTGTGCTTTTTAAATTCTGCATTATAGCCCTAGCCAGTTTGGCTCACTGGATAGAGCGTTGACCTGGGGACTGAAGGGTCCCAGGTTCGATTCTGGTCAAGGGCATGTGCCTTGGTTGCGGGTGCGTCCCCAGTGGGGAGTGTGCAGGAGGCAGCTGAACGATGCTTCTCTCTCATCCATGTTTCTAACTCTCTATCCCTCTCCCTTCCTCTCTGTAAAAAATCAATAAAAAAATATTTAAAAAATTCTGCATTATATTCATCTTTCACCTACTCAAGCAAAAATTAATTTAACTTAGAAGTTTAAGTTTAATACGTTTTATCTCTGCCCTCAAATAAAACTTCAAAGCCAGCATTTTACAGAGAAAAATTATCCATTTACGTGAACTCAGAAAGTTTGCCAAAGTTCAAGTAACCGTAATTTTTTTAATGTTAATCTGTAAAGTTGTTATATTATTTCTAATTTAAGTATAAATTTTCTAAAAATGCCTATGAGACAACTCCTAAAAAAGAAAATAATACTCAGCTTTGTTTGATGTCCCTGAATATAGAAACACTCTTCAGGTCACATGAAACTCAACTTCAAAAGCCACTACATTTCCCACAGGGACTCTTGCTCCTGGCGACACATCTGGACCAGCCACCTGAGGAGGCGAAAGGGCAACTGGATCTCCCTGCAAGTGTTTCTGGCAGCAACTCCTGTGTGGCATTTCAGGCCATGAGTCACAATTCCACTGGATGCCATTTGGGCTTTATATTTAACTATAGGCCCGGTGCACGGATTCATGCACCGATGGGGTCCCTCGGCCTGACCTGCACCCTCTCGCAATCCAGGACCCCTCGGGGGATGTTGGAGAGCTGGTTTGGGCCTGTTCCCCACAGGCCAGGACGAAGGACACCACCGGTGCACAAATCCATGCACTGGGACAGTTTTGGCCTGATCCCCCCAGGCCAGGCCAAGGGAACCCAGGTACACAAATCCATGCACCCAGGTCCCTAATATGCATATAAGATCTTTGGTTAATCTCTTCCCACCTTTCCCCTGCCCTCCTTCCCTCTGAGATTCATCAGTCTCTTTCTTGTTTCCATGCCTGCACATTGAGCGTCTGTCCCCTGGTGGTCAGTGCATGTCATAGTTACTGGTCAAACAGTCAAACGGTCAACTGGTCACTTAGGCTTTTATATATAGAGATTCTAAGACATCAATGAGGATGTGCCCAAGAATGAAAGTTCTCTGCAGAATGTCCTCCCAAGAAATAATATATACTGATGTTGTCCATGGTGTCGATCGATGATTCTCTCTCATCATTGACATTTCTATCTCTCTCTCTCTCTCCCTCTCCCTTCGTATGAAATCAATAAAAACATTTAAAATAATAATAATAACAGAAAATATATATGAAAAACATAAATGAAATAGAAGTGGTGAGACTCAGCCATCCATCCAGCCTGCTATGTAGATGCCATCAAGTTCCTAGACATTAAAACCTGGTGGATAAACATTCAGCTCATATCAATTATTTGCATAGGATGTAACCAGATTTCCCTCCAAGTTTTTAAAGATTATAAGATAATTAAATCCGTTGCTCAAATTTCTAATTTAAAAAAACTATTAGTCTAGATTACTGATGATATATACATTAGCAGCTTAACCCTACAGAAGTACACAAAAGCATCTCAAAAAAAAAAAAAAAATCCAATCAAAAAGACAACATCCAATGGGGAGAATCTTGAGTTTTAAACCCAAGTTATGAAAATCATAATATTAGTTTACACTTGGAGAAACATACCATTCCAAGTAAAACTGAAATACAATTCTGTTAAAAAGTAAACAATAAAAAATTAGCAATAAAATGGCAAGACAAGTGTTTACTAGGACAAACATTTATTCTGAGTCCTACTCATTAAATCCTCAAAATAATCTCCAATGACATATAATCTGCCTAAACACATGCTGTGTTGGGGCTGGGGTGGGAAAGACACGGACAGACATTCCAGGCATGGCACCTGGACCCAGCTCAGTAATCAGGACAGAGAACCATTCAAACACAGCCATGCCCTTGTCATCAGCGGCCCTTCTTCCATTCCTACCTCCAATGTGCAGGTGTGTATTTGCAGGACAAGACAAACTTTAAAAACAGGGTTTAAAAAACAGAGAAATCACAATGAGTGGTCAATTTTCACTTCAAATCTCCATTCAGGGCAGTTCCATTCCCACCAGCTCTCTGGGGGCTCGTTTTTCCCTTGCTCAGAGCAAAGTGCAGCACTTTTACCGTGTGCTCTCATAACCCTACTAGGGTAATGCTAGCCTATAAACAACCCCTGGGGGCAATTAGAGAAAATCATGTGACATATTTAGCTGCAGAAGAGCACAGACTAACATCAGCAATAATTTAGGAGTCGTTTTTCTTTTATCTGCATAGGAAATATTTCTACCTGTCCAGCAGCAAGCATATATGACTTCACCTACTCTAATAAGCTTTTTAAAAAATTTTGTGCATTCATTTGAGAGAGAGAGACAGAAACATCAATTTGTTGTTCCACCTATTTGTGCATTCATTGGTCGATTCTTGTATGTGTGATGTGCCCTGACCAGAGATCAAACCCGCAACTTGGGCGCATGGGGCTGATGCTCTAACCAGCCAAGCTACCTGGCCAGGGGCGGTTAGGCCTTATGTCTATTTACTTATGTTATCTCACAGGTGAGCCTCTGAGCTTCCACAGTAAGGACAAGCCTAGAGCAACTGGTGGATCCCGGGACTCGAACCATTTTATACACAGAGTTTTCTGGTTATGAGGGTGTATGAGAAAAAGGACACTCAGGTACCTTCTCCAAACTGTGGAACTAGGACTTGGCCATTACAATGCTGCCAATGATGTCACCATTTCCCGACGCTTCCCCACTAGTCACAAAAATGGGAAAGTCCACTTAAGACTAAAGAAAAGTCTCCCAACTTACATTACGGAACAAAAGCTGAGCACCACCTCTGAGAAGACCGGCCTTCACACTGCACCAGGGAGTCAGAGAATAGGCGAGGACTGTCACCACAGCCAAATGCCACTGAACCTTTTGGTCCCTGTTCCATCCAAGCACCTAGCCCAGCCCCTGGGTGGTTGCCCCAAATATATCATTATTGAGAACCAGCTCTTACTAGGTGCTTCTCCTGCATTATTCTTCCCTAGTCCTTAGAGTAGAGTTCTGGAAATCAATGTTCTTCCCGCTGTGCCAAAACTGCCTCCTGCCCTCTATCACCTTCCCATATGACACATCCAACTCAAAACAAATGACAGAAATGGCTTTCGGGGCCAGGAAGCCCACAGCTGATGCCCCAGCCCCATCTCTGCATGAAAAGGGCAGCACACCCACCAGCCATAGAATAGTACTCAGGCACTTCCAGCAAATTACACATCTCCAAGGTCCCACTCTGCTAGCCCTGGGGAAACTACGCCATGACCTGGGCCACAGCTAAACTCGATCAAGTTTGGATCAACAGGTAAACAGGACGTACTAAACCCCAGGCCGAGGGGCTAGGACAGAATTCCTCCTGCAGGAGGTAAGGTGATACTGACTCTGAAGGACCGTGGGATTGGCTTGGATTGGGGGAAAAGCAGCCACCTTATAGTAAGGAAACGGGCTTGGTGCTTATGGGATAAGAAAAGTGAGGAAGAATGAGACGTTTATTTGGTTGCCTCAAGTCCTTTCTTTAACTCGATAGGAGGTGACACAGTCACCAAGGCAGGGAATATAGGAACAGGGACTGGTCTGAGAAGAAATCAAATGAATTCTGTTTGTGGCACTCTGAGTTTAAGATATTTGCGGTCCGTTGCATGGAAAACCCAGTAGGCAGCTGGAATGTGGGGGCCCTGAAGAGAGAGGGGTCTGAGTTACAGATGAACGCCCCTGAGAAAAGGGTCAGGAAGGCATGGAATCAGACGCTAGACCACACCTGCATCCAACAGTGGAGGAGCACCCTCAGAGGACAGTGAAGGGGAACACCCAGGGGAGGAGGAGGATCATCAGGGGGCGCCCAAGAAGGCAACGCTTCCAGGAGGAGGCCACGGTCAATGTCACATTCCACAGGAAAGTCAAATAAGATAAAGACAGAAATGTGCACTGCGGCTGTTAAGAAATGCCTGGCCCCTTGCCAAAGGCAGTGTCTGAGGAGAGGTGAGGATGCCAGCCACATGCACGGAGCCAAAGCCTGAATGGGAGACGCAGCCAGCCCTCGGAACTTTCTGGAAAACCTTCACTACAAAAAAAAAAAAAAAAAAGCCCAGTCTTTTTTGTTTGTTTGTTTGTTTGTTTTTAACTTAAGAGGTTGTAATAAGCAAGAAATGCTCCAACCCAGATCCAACTGTCAGTTCAGACACTGGCTGTACCAGCCAGCCAGCCATCCTCCGCCGACAACAGACAGATTCCTATGGAGAAAGGAAACCAAGAACAACTGTGTCCATGGATTACCAAGGAAGGAAGCGGGGACCCTGATAACGCGTGTGAAATCATTAAAGCCATTAGGGACACACGTCTCAGAACTGCAAACACTAATTTTCAGCCAAGCTTCTTCTTCTTTTTTTTTTTTTTTTTTAATGACATAAAGGCTATTTCTATAGCCTTCGGTTGGACATAACAGTGGTGAGCCTGAAGCTGCACCTGCAGGGCTGTGGCATTCTACCAGCTCAGTAGGCCGCAGTGAGGTGGCTGAGTCCTCTGAGACTGCCACCAGGTCACTGGCAATGCCCCGGCTCGAAGCAGCCCCTGGGAGGGGAAGGAGACTCATATCTTTCTTTGCTTCCTTTGTTTGATTTGATTTTTTTTTATCTTTTTCCAGCCCGGATGAGTGTTCCCATAAAGAAGAAAATCTCAGTCACATGCAGCACAGCAGACTTTTAACAAGACTCTTCTGCCCTGGCCAGTGTGGCTCAGTTGGTTAGAGCATCACCTGATATGGCCAAGGTTTCGGGTTCAATCCCCGGTCAGGGCACATGTAAGAATCAACCAATGAATGCATAAATAGGTGGAACAACAAATCTGTCTCTCTCTCTCCTCCCTTCCTCTCTATCTAAATCAATCAATCCATTTTTTTTTTTAATTTAAAAAGACTCTTCTGCTAACAAGAGCACTATTTGTCTTTTCATATTTGCACTGAGGAAAAGACTATTTCATATTGGCTGGTCTCTCACCAGACAGCTGGGAGAGAGTTAAATGAAAAATTGGTAGAACTATTCTACTAGTCCCTATAAGGTGGCAAACTATTCAGGGACACCACCTGCTCCTTTGCAAGGAATGAGTCATAAAACGTCTGTGCTATGTAAATGTTATTTGCAAAAGAAAAAAAAAAGTCCTTCACAGTGTCAGCTATTTAAGAGAACAAACTCTGGAAGGTATATGGTCTTAGTCAGAGGTAAGGAATGGTTAACCATTATTCATTCTGAGCAGTAGGTCTCATCAAAAGATTAGGTGTTATGTCTGGCGTGTTGTAGGAGTTAACCATTAACCGGCTGGCTAACAATAGCCCAGGGGAGTCCTTCCCAGACCTGGAAAAGGCAGGAATGCCTTGTTTCTAAGACTGCAGCTGAGGTTACCCCCATGAATGCGCTATCAGAAAAGGACATCAGGAGGGCAAGACCCCAACATGGGTACCTTTTTTCAATGAATCCTGAGTCCACAGGGGTGCACCCTAGAATATTAAATTCTAGAATGAAATTTTCAACAGGTGGGTATAACACTTTTTAACCCTAAAACTACTCATTAGCTGTCACTGAGTTAAATTTACTCTTCTCCAGGATCTGCAGGTTTTAGACATTACCCGTATTGTCACCAGACTGATTCAACTGACTTTCTTTTGTTCCAGT